AATTCTTAGAACTAAAATTTTTTAAATATTTTTTACGTGTATACTGTATGTTGTCGCCAATAAAGTCTGCTTGGCGAGATTTGCGCCGGCGAAACGGAAAAGTACCGATTTATCTTTCTTGGTTGATATTACCAAACACTTAACCGATTTAAATTTATCGTTACAAGGAAAAGATCATATCATTACGAACATGTTTGACATAATTAAAGCATTCAAATGTCAACTAGTTCTTTGGGAAAAACAACTTAAAAATGAAGATTTGACGCACTTCCCGACGTGCAGCATGAACAAATCAAGTTTAGATGATACTTGTCGTATCAAAAATACGCAGAAAAAATTGCAAATTTAATAACTGACTTTGAAACGAGGTTTAATGACTTTAGTTCCCTCAAAGACAAATGTTTTTTGTTTCCTTCGATTTTCTCAATAAGTATTGACTCAGTACCCAGCCATATGCAAATGGAGGTGATCGAGATTCAATGCAACTCAAATTTGAAAGCAAAATTCATTGAAGTGGGCATGCCTGAATTTTACAAATATTTACCAGGCAGGTTTGAAAATATTCGAAAATTCGCATATGAAATTATTTCCATGTTTGGTAGCACTTATCGGTGCGAGCAGTTATTTTCAGTCATGAAAGGTAATAAGTCTCCTATTAGAAACCGTATTAATGATGCTCACCTTGGATCAGCGTTGAAAGTTATCGCTGCAAACAAAATGTCTCCTGAAATAGGAAAGATAATAGCAGAGAAGAGATGTCAAGTATCAGGACGTAAACATTAAATTTTTCTTGTTCTTTTCTATATAAATATATATATATGTTTATTATTGTATTATTTGAAAAAATCTACATTTCTATGAATATTGATTTTTTTTTTTTTTTTTTTTTTTTTTTTTTTTTTTTGCGGCCCACCTAAAGTTAAACCTTGTTTGTTTGGCCCAAGTGTACCTATGAGTTTGACATCCCTGATTTAGAAGATGGTAATGATCACTGGCAACAAGGCAGGAAATGATTTCAAATGCAATGACCGTAAATCGTCGGGAAGAGATTTGTATGCATGTACGTATATGCATGCTATCCACCGTAGTGGACAAACTGTAACAATTACTTAAAAAAATTTGAATAAAATTAATTTTTTAATTATTACTAAGGTTATCAGTTTGCCTTCCACCACACTTCAAATCATGTCATCCGACTAAACAAAAGTTAGCTTCATTTATTCCTATGTTTTCCGTGCTCTTCAAGTTTGCTCCTCCAAACAATCCCTTGATGAAGAACTAAATTATTTAAAAGCAATAGCTATTCACAGGGGGTTTTTACCCAACATTATTAATCAAGCAGTTAAAAAATTCTCATCTTAACACACTAAAAGGCACACCCTTGCTTTAGGAGATTATAAAAATTCTGTTGTCATTCCCTTCTTTCCATAAATTACCTATAAAGTTGAACATATTTTGCAGAAATTTAACTTTCGGGTCATTTATTCTCCCATCAACAAAATTCCGAGTTCCATACTCAAGAACCCCATTGTGGATATGAATTCCTGGGATATTTACAGGATTCCTTGCCAGTGTGGTTTAATTTACATGGGTCAAACTAAGGGAGCCTTAAAATTTCGTGTCAAGGAACATGAGGCATATCTTAGAAAAAGGAAACACAGAAGTCTTCTCTTGCCCAACATTGTTGGTCCGAAAATCACACTTTCGATTTTTCTGCTGCCAAAATTATTCAAAAAGCATCTTCCATTGGAGAACTGGATTTTCTAGATTTCAAATTTAAAAAAATCTTTCTGTTGTAGGTAATGATCCTAATTCCAATCCATGTTTGCCTTTGGCCTTTAAAGAAATTATGTTTTAGTTCTGGTTTCATCAACAGATGGCGCCACTAGCTTATTTTCTGTCCAAGCGTTCTTATCTTATCTGATCATTATATCCTATCTTGTTCATCTGCGCTTTTGCAGCTGATGATGGTGGTTCTGTGAAAATTTGAAAATATAACGCTGATTTTTGTTGTTTGACTTCTGAATTAGAAATGCGTACGGTTGAACGTCAGAGGATATTTTTTACTCTTATTTTTGTGAATTTATCTGGCGACGTCAATAAACAAATTCTATTTCAGATAATTTTAGGACGTTTTTGGATGCTGTTAAGAAATTTTGTTTAAAGACACGGAAATTTCTAAATAAGGTAAGTGGATATTTCCTGTGTGTAGTGCTAAGATGAATTATGTTATTTCATTTAAAATGTAGCTTATTGAGATTATACATTTTTTGTTTGGCTCAAGTTTAGAACTGGCTGCTCCTTTGACTTTTTAAGTGAAAACAGATCGATCTGTACACACACAAAGTCAAGGGAGTGCGTAATTCTCTGATGATTTTTTTTAAAGTGAAAATAGGTCGATGTGTGCATGGATACAGAGTTAGTGCAATTCTTTTAAATGTTATTTTGACTTGTGCCAAAATAACATGTCAAAGAACTGCACAAACTTTGTGTTCATGTACCGCCAAAAATCAAGAAGGGGCACCCATAAAAATATTTTTACAGGCCCTTTTTAGGAATTGTTCAGTTATGTGCGTTACAACTGTAACAAAGCTATATATGTTACAGCATGGCCAAAAATATAATCTTTTTTATTAATGATGTCCAAAATGCTTCTGCTAGATAATGTAGAAACATTTATAATGTGATATTGCACATGTTGCATAGAATCTTTAGCTTTGTAATCCCCAAGCAAGATTCAATTATTTGAGTACCATCTGCAAGGCTGAAAAAGTTCTTTTGGTAGTTTACAAGTCAATAATCATATCCTAATTGGTCCAGTCTCGTAAGAAAGCCATTCATCAGTCATAATTTAGTCAGGTATTCTCATTGCTGAACGGAGCCCAGTTGATGACATTAATCTACCATTACCCATTTTTGATTTTTGAAAAAAGAGCCTGTTATCTTCAAACTGGATATTTTTTTATAGGGTCAATGCCAATCTAAGATTGAGTTTTGCCTAATTTTATATCTGTGAATGCAGAACACGTAACTGTGAACGCAAAAAAATTCTTCTAAATCAGTTACGTGTTAATTTATTCGGACTGAGTAATTCTGTATGTGTTGAAAAAATTCAATAACCAGTCATAGCTATATTACAAAAAATTAAAATGAAAAGCATGACTTCACACTGAAACTGCAAATACTAAACTTCCTACGTTAAATATGTCTGTGAGGAAAACTGTCATTCCATAACATCTTTTGAATTTATGAAATGATGTGTATCTTAGTTTTTTTTTTTTTTTTTTTTTTAATTCTGTTAAAAGCAGTAATTAAATTTAACCAAATTTCATGGATTTTTAATTTGAAGATGGACTTGCTAAAAAAATTTTTTTTTTTTTTTTTTTTTTTTTTTTTTTTCAATTATTGGAACTGGATTCACAAATACACACACTTCCGAATCAAAACATTTAGACAGCAAATGTGATACTGTCATGAACAAAATTTGCATCAGTTTCTTCTGTATTTTGTAAGTTGTTAAATATGTAGCAATAATTCGCTTTATCAATTAGGGTCTGCAGAATATTTTTTTACATCCCAGTCATAATAGCAAACCTAAAAGTACAAAAATCTCACATTTAAGCAAAAGCTTATTATGGTTAGTACCAAATAATAGATAGCAATATATTTTATTCAAATGAAAATTAGAAAATTTACAACTTCATCCGATAGAATGTCAACGAATATATACAATTTTTAAAAAAATCATGCTTTTCAATGGAGCTCCACTTAAGATACATCAAACATTTTAAAACATTTCTGTTCTTCAAACTTTAAATGAACAATAAAAATACAAAACTTTTGATACAATTTTAAAATGATATCTCTTAACAGTATCTGCAACTTACATTTTATGCCAAATATATATACTACTTAAAGCAGGAAGTAAAAATCTTCAAATTCTGATTTAAAAAACGTTTACTTGGTTTCATTTTCAAATAATGGATTACTATATTTGCATATTTTGTTTCCATTGTTATTCTGCATGGACTCTATCTAATTTTTCTATGTTTCTGATGCTATAATTTTGCATTTTTGGCATTGCTTACTTCAGTTTGGACTGATTACTTTTTAAATTTTGAACTTTGTTCATTCAGAAAGAGGCCTTTTTCTTATTTACTTTCTTTGTTTCACCAACCCCTGATGACAAAACAATTTTGTTTTCAGGAGAAGGACCTTTTTTTCTTTTTTTTTTCCAGTTTTGGTTTTAGCCCTCCTTGCAGTTTGCCTGTTTTTTAGTTTTTGCATGTGGTTTATTCTGAATTGAATATGGGACGAATTTAAAATGCGATTTTTATTTTATTTTGCATTATATTACTTAAACATATACTGGAGATTACTCGTCAAAGTACGCAAAGGCTAACAACTCAAGAGGAGGGATGCATTACTGATGGCATTTTGAGTTTAACTGGGTCGTCACATTAGAGATGGGAAAAAAAACAAAAATATACTAAAGATAACCCAAACTAATATACGGAATCCATATAATTTTGATTATGCTAAAAAATAATTTATAGGACTCTTCTTAAAAGTACAATGTTCACTGAATTCACTCTGTGTTAATACTTTAATTTCACAAAATGTAAACATTTTGATTGACAGCATGACTTTTTTTTATACTCATGTAAAATATAAATGAATGGCGAGAACAAAACTCTGTTTGTAACAAAGTAAGAAATGACAAAAATTCATTTGCCACTAATTACTTTTTAAACGTTTAGTTGAGCATTGGAAGCACCAATGCAAATTGCAGCAAAGGAATTATTGTTATTTAAGAAAACTTACGTTATTCGTTTACGAATGACAATACAAAACAAAGAATAAATGCATAACATATTTCTTGCAAACAACTTCTGAAGAAGAACAAATTTAAAAGCAGACATTACACCAATTTACCAAAAGTGCGGCCGATATTCATACTAAAACGTGACTATATACGTTAATTAATTAATTACACTTACCCTTAAAAAACTGGTTTTGCAACTAAAATAATTTTTGGAAGCACTATTTAATATTTTAATTAAATTTCTTTAATTTAAAACTCTCAAATTCGGCAAATGGACGCTGTCATCAAGAATCATTAAATGGGTAGCCATTTTTCGTGACAAAATCAATTTCCCTAGAGGGCGCTTTATGAAAATAGTGAAATAATCGATAATCACGACGCAAAAATTTAATTAAGTCATTTTCGTCTTCTTCTTGAATAAATTTTCTTTTAAGGTCATTAGTTTTCATTTCTTAGGTATCAGTATATCCATGTTTTATGCATTAAATTCAAAATAATGATCAGGTTATACACTTTCTAATATAATTTTAAAGTCGAAAAAGAAAGTTTAACATTTAAATATATTTAACACTCTATGAACTAAGACAAAATACCTTTTATAGATATTACTATTAATTTTAGCACATAAATTAAGAAATATTATTACCAAAATTAAATTTACATTTTTATAATATGTTTATAATTTGCAACACTTTGTGCAACTCAACATATTGTTTTCCTTTTCTTCTGCCGACGGTGATTTGTTTCCTTTTCGAGGAGCATTTGTTCTTTAAATTTGTTAAAAAATTATGTCGGTTCATTGTTCTAATTGTCATAACGATGTGAAAAAAATTGATTTAGGTAAGAAAAACTTAGAATATTAATTTGATTTTATTTAAATTATTTGTAAATTATGAAATACTGTAAAATTTATATGTATGTGTTTGTTAGGTGCGTATTATGAATGTCATTGTTAAGAAAGTTGTTAGTTGATTGTGTATTCAAAAATGTATATCTTTATAATTAGTTATTAAGCTTCGTTTACGCGTGATTGACTATCAAGTTTAAGAAACTCTATAAATTTATTAATGAGGCCATACTTACGTTAAATTATGAAATTCTGAAACCAAGATTAAGAAATAATAGCTTCCAAAGATGTTAAAATACCGTAGATTCTGCAGTCAAAGAATTATGTAATATTTAAAAAATTTTCACAGGACTAGTTTCGATGGTTTTACCGAACCATCATCTTCAGCTGCAAAACCGCAAATGAACAAGATAGGAAATAATGTTTAGATAAGATAAGAAAGCCTGGACAAGAATAAGCAAGTGGCGCCATCTGTTGGCATCTTATCTATCTTATCGAAATGATTAGGCATCTTATCGCTCATAATGTGAAATTCAATAATAAACCTTTGAAACCAAATCTAACTGTGAGAGAAAGAGCTACAATGCGCGAGATTCATTCTAACCCGGATATTGTCATTTCAAAGGCCGACAAAGGTGGCCAGATAGTCGTCATGGATAAGAACACTTACATCGATGGTGTCACTAAACTCTTAAACGAAGGACCATATAATCCTATCCCTAAAGATCCTTCACCTTCGGACTTATCCAAAATAAAAAACTGCGATCAAATCTTCGCAAATCATTTCAAGCAACTTAAAACATTCACTTATCCCATCTGTGCGAATTGTGCCAGATTATATGCTCTTCCCAAAAAATTCATAAAAGTAGTTCCTTTCCGCTCTATTGTATCAAATTTAGGTACTGCCTCGTATCCATTAGCTAAATATTTAGTTTCTAGATTTTCCACTCTATTAGACAATAACATTTACATCATAAAAAATTCAATAGAGTTTGTAAAAAAGGTTAAAAACATTTCTCCTCGTAATTTACTCATGGTTTCTTTTGATGTAAAATCATTATTCACCAATGTCCCAGTGGAGGGTGCATTAAGATGTCTAGAAACCAGACTTCGCGAATTTCATTTCTCTTGCATCGAAATTGATGAGCTAATTTCTCTCACTCAACTCTGTTTGAAACAAAACACATTTTGTTTTCCAAAATAAATATTACAAGCAAACTGAGGGATTAGCCATGGGAAGCCCCTCAGTCCCATCCTGGCTGATATCTACATGCATTATTATGAATCAAAATTGTTTGAAACTTTAAAATTCCCGGCATGGTTCCGCTACGTAGACGATACTTTTACCCTGTTTGAAGGTAATAAAGATGATTTGAAATAAAGTTCTTTCAACAATGAATTCTATTGATCCTGCTATTCAGTTCACTTTTGAACTTGAGACTTGCAATTCTCTTCCGCTTCTCGACATTCTGGTCACACGTAACATATCCAACTTCAGTACTACAGTTTACCGTAAACCCTCATCGGTTTGCCTTCCACCACACTTTAAATCATGTCATCCGACTAAACAAAAGTTAGCTTCATTTTATTCCTATGTTTTCCGTGCTCTTCAAGTTTGCTCCTCCAAACTAGCCCTTGATGAAGAACTAAATTATTTAAAAGCAATAGCTATTGACAGGGGCTTTTCACCCAACATTATTAATCAAGCAGTTAAAAAAATTCTCATCTCAACACACTAAAAAAAGCCACACTCTTACTTAGGAGATTATAAAAATTCTGTTGTCATTCCCTTCTTTCCATCAATTAGCTATAAAGTTGCACATATTTTGCAGAAATTTAACTTTCGGGTTGTTTACTCTCCCATCAATAAAATTCCAACTTCTATACTCAAGGACCCCATTCCGGATATGAATTCCTGGGGTATTTATAGGATTCCTTGCCAGTGTGGTTTAATTTACATTGGCCAAACTAAGAGAGCCTTAAAATTTCGCATCAAAGAACATGAGGCATATGTTAGAAAAAAGGAGCTTCTGTTGCTCAGCATTGTTGGTCCGAAAATCACACTTTCAATTTTTCTGCTGCCAAAATTATTCAAAAAACATCTTCCATTGGAGAACTGGATTTTCTAGAGGCATTTCACATTCATAAAAATCTTTCTGTTCTAGTTAACGATCCTAATTCCAATCCAAATTTGCCTTCGGCTTTTAGAGAAATTATGTTTTAGTTCTGGTTTCGCCAACACATGGCGCCACTTGCTTATTCTTGTCCAGGCTTTCTTATCTTATCTAAACATTATTTCCTATCTTGTTCATTTGCGGTTTTGCAGCTGAAGATGATGGTTCGGTAAAACCATCGAAACTAGTCCTGTGAAAATTTTTTAAATATAACACTGATTTTTGTTGTTTGACTTCTGAATTAGTAATTATGTAATAGTCTTAATTAGTTTATATTTTGCTTCACTAGGATGGGAGGATCTAAAAATCTACATATTTATGTATACATACAGTATGTGTACATGTGAGTTTTAGTCAGAAGTTAAAAGGTAGAGTCTATTTTCTAATTATCCCCACTCCTACCCGAAAATTTAAGAATTGTTTGACAACTTTGGAGAACATTCATGAACTAATTGATGGTTCTGAAGAAAAGTTTTTGTTTGGGTATATTTATGTCTATTTCACTGATATCTCAAGTGCTAACTATTTTTTTACATACTTCTTTTACCATACAAGACATACACACTTTAAGGTTTTTGTTTAATTATTCTTCCCATATAACTGCCCATTTATAGTAATCTATTCTCACTAAGAAAGAAAAATGCCTGATGCGGAGACCATATGGACCTGCTTGTATGGCCTATTCAATTATATACATTTTCTCCTTCATTTAAACGTATTTCCTGAAATTATTGCAGCAACAGATCCCTGGAGACAAGTTGAAAATGGCATCAAAAATTCCAAATTTTGAAATTAAATATCCGAATGAATTTTTGTCATATGGGAGACAAACTTCTTATGATTTTAGTTTTTCTTAAAAAGTATAAAACTTTCCAAGATATAAGTGTAGGGGTTGATCTTTACAGTACCCCTTGGTTTGTGTGTGAAAAAATTTCCAAGTGGTAGTGATTGTTCCATAAATCTTTGGAATATGGTAACAGGTAGTTTGGTGACATTTTGGTAAGGCGATAAAGGTTACTAGCTAGGACTTTAGCAGTGTACATGGATAAAGTCTAGAGTGTGTGCAATGCCATTTTTGTGCAATTCTGGGATTTTTTTTTAAGTGAAAATAGGTCGACGTGTATGGATACCGTGTGTATGTGCAATTCTTAAAAACGCGGCAAGCAGGGGCGATTCTGCACGTTCTCTCCATTTCGCACCTAATCTTCGTCATGAGTAAGCACTTTTGTTCCATAAAAGTTCTAGCATAAGCGTAATTCAGCTAGCAGATTGTTGGAAAAAAATATTAATTAAAAAAAAAAAAATACCTTTTCTTCATGAAAACAAAATGGCATCCAAAACTAAACTAGCAGGTTGCTGTAGCAGGGTTGGTCGCCAAATTTTCGCCAAAAAATCACCAAGTTACCATACTGTAAAGATTCACCAACCTTTTGTGAAAAAGTGCTGATTACATATAGTAACTAGATGATAAGTTGTGATGGATCTGGGACTGAGTGCTGCCCAAAGAATAGTTTTGAGTTGAGTACAGTAGTTACCATGCAAAACAATTATTTTAATTATTAATTAAGGGCTTAAGTCAGAGTTATTTGATTCTGTATTACATATGAATAACCACTATAACAAGAAAGTGCCAAAATTGCTATACAGTACAAAGTCTGAAATCCGGACGTCCATTATCCGAAATGATCTAAATCCGGACCTCAAAACCAACTACAACGTTTTCTTGTAGGCTTTACGCATTCGCATGTTTTTCCCCCACCCCTCCGCGCATAATAAAACATCTGTAAAGTCCCGAATCTTAATTTCACTTCGACACTATATAAAATACCTTGTTATTGAAGAAACAATCATTTTAGCATAAATTTGTGTGATCTGTAATTTGGCTCCATTGCTGCGTATCTGCTTGGACATATCTCAAATGAAACATTCCACATACATACATCGTTGATTTGATGCCAACCTGGTGAATCATTATTTATTATACTTTCCTTTCATTACTGCATGTTTATCAGTAATGAAAGGAAAGTTTATGTTTTATGACAACTTGAGTAATGTTTCATGTAGCTATGCTAAAACAATCTTTTTTTTATGTTAGTAATTGAATAATAAAGGAGTATGGTAACCTTTTATATTGACATTACGCTTGGCTATGATTACAGATTTAAGTGTGCTAAAAATTGTTGACAAGGAAAAATTTAACAAAAATTTCTTTCCTTGTGCTAAAAATAGATTTTGTTGATGATATTCATAGACCCATAGATTACATTTAGGGCTGTTTTGAATTAAGAATAACTGATCTGTTATTCACATAAATCCAGAACCACCACGAGAGCTCGTATGGCCGCACCGAGTTGCAAAATTTAGGACAAACAGAGGCGGTAAGATATCTTGTGCCAGCCCTCAATAAGGCTTATATATGGCAATTAATTTATTCAGAACTCTGATAAGCCTTAAGCATGTGTAAGAAATAGACATAAGTTAACAAATAACTAATACATTTCAGGCTTAATTGTCTCGGTGTGCGATAAAGCAAGATAAAATTTAACGAAACAACTTGTCGTTAGTCGCCAAGCTAATGATGCATAGCCAAATATGTATAGTGAAGAATAGCTAAATTTGATGCTGATAGCCACTAATTTTAAAGGTTTTCGGATATCGCCGAACAAAGGTGAAATTTTCCAATTAACACCTTTTGTAAAGAAATGTGGAGAAGCGGTAATAAATGAAAGATTATATAAAAGAAGTTTTTCATTATGATGACAATGCTTCTGAATCATCAATCAATTAATGAATGGTGAAAATCTGTAGTATTGATATAG